GGAAAGTTACATGTGCATGGTGAATTGAATAATATAAAAAAAGAGGTTTGTAGAGCAAAATGTAAAAAATATTTTTATGCAGAATCATAAAAAAATGATTAGATCAAATTCTATGTTTAGACCTTTTGGGTGGGAGAAAAGGCCTTTCCTCTCACTTCCACCTAACCTGTGCCTTCGAGGGCACCTAATCCCATATTCCCCTAGACTGCCTGTTTCCTAAGGCTAAGATAGTAATGACCCACGATAATTAACTTAAGTAAAATTTGTAAAAAATAAGCAGTTTAAAACAAACACTGTGTATAACAATTAAATAAATTAAATTACATTAAATATCTTGCAAGGACAATAATCTATAGGACGTGTCTCCATTCAAATGTCTACCCTGTATCTTAGACCATTATACACATAATGTCAGAGGTCCTGATGTACGTTTCACCACACCAATGGGCTCTTCAAGGGGAGAGCTCGGTGGTGTGGCGAAACGTATGTCGGACTTCTGACATTATGTGTATATGGTGAAATGAAAAATATAGGAAAAGAGGATGATCAGTGAATCGGTGAGTAAAACATTTTACAATAATGAGGGACCTGGAACCTCAAACTCGAGGCACCATAAACACGGTTACAGTCGATGTGGTTATGCGGCCTACAGTGTCCCTTTATGGAGTTAACACACAAGGATTATATACACTTGATTTCCAGCTTTGCAAAAAGTAAAAAAAACTTTCCGAATGATTCTTGCCAGTGAAGCACTGACTGACTCCAATCAGTTATAAATCGTCTGGCACATGACAACATGCTTAAAAATACCACAGCTACAATGACTCCCTTTAGATCAAACAATAACGAGATTCTTTTTTTCTGCTTACTTTCACACACAAAAACTGAAAGCAAAAAATCCTGTGTATTAATATCAACACAGAAGCTCACAGAGTGCATGTATACCAAGTCAGAGAGGGAAAACCTGGGGACACTTCTTTGGGATTGTTTTTTCGTGGTCCTTAAGGACCGTTTTTTGTCGGACGTACCTAGTACATCCGCGGTCCTTAAGGGGTTAAATAAAAAAGTTTTGTTTCTATAATTCTTTTCAAACAAATAGATAATCTTTAGAAAATTTAATTTCATGTTGTTATTGACTAAAACATACAATTAGAACGCTTTAAAGAATTGCTTTTGTTTTTGCAGCTCATACTAAAACTATTGAGATTTTTTTTAAAATTGGAGCTTAGGAAAAATACATTTTTATTTGTTACAATATAGAAATGTTGTTTATAAGCTATCAATACAACATGTTCCTCTAAATTAACAGTTCAATTAAATCATAAGGTCAAATTAGCAATATGAGTCAATCTTTCAGTAATACTAATGGACATTCTAGAGGTATTTCTTTTTGCTGATTTACACAACATATGTTAATCAAAGAAATAGAAAAGATATAACAAAATAAAAATTAAATTTTTCATGTCTTGATTGAAAAAAGTTGTGATGAACAAATGAGTGGTCCTACATTGTAGATTTTGAACTAAGGCTCATTTCTATTCTTAGATACAAGATACACCTAAAAGGACAGAGGTAAAAAGAAATTCATAGGGCAACACCATACAATAAAGCAATGGCCCCTTGGTAATAATAATGCACTCACAGAATATGCGAATTGTTCAAGCCCATCAGTGTCTCTTTAAATGTTCAATTGCAGAAATTTTCAATTCCGGGAACACATGTCAAAAGAAGAAACTGGACATAGTGCAGCAAAATTTAAAATGTAAAATAGACACACTTTAATTGTAAACACTTACAAGAAGTGAGCAGTAAGAATGCTCATCAATCAAATATTGAGTCCTCTGTTCACAAGGCAGAAGATGAATAAAAAAGCTCAACGCGTTTCGTCTACTCAGCTGTAGACTTCCTCAGGAGCATATAATAAAAATAAACACAGCATCAAAATCATGCAGCACAAACTCTCAAATGTCCAGGATGGCTTTTAAATGATCAGTTGTTTTTTATCCTTCGTTATTCAATGCCCTTATAAGGACTTCCGTTCCTCTTCGTGGAACACATATGCGTTCCACCTTTCGGCGGCTCCAAAAGACGTCATCCACCCTCGCGTGAAACGCATATGCGTTCCAATTCGTCAGTTCGGCCAATCAGGAGCAATATGTGGATCAAATACAACAGTATTTAGATACAACGAAATTCCATTCGCAAAAGTTAAATTTGTAACAATAAACAATGTTATTTGGCTAACAAGAAAAAGACTAACAGAGACCAATAAGTGCACATATATAGATATCATCTTAAGTCAATTCCTCAAAAGGGAGTGATTCTGGAGAATGCAAACTTTGAAAAAATAAATAAATATTATTAATATAGTATTTCTCACCCAGAGCTCCCAGAGTAGACCTCACCAATCGCTTCGCTCGTTTAAGAGAGCGGAATATTTCAACCAAGAAAAGGAGATTAAGCCTAGAAGGAGAGATTTCCCATCAAGTCTAGATAAGGGAGAGGAAGCAATGGGCATTTTCAATATATCCAATGCATATCTGAGTATAGAAGAGTGTCTTATCCTACAGAAGGGTTTAAAATACACAACCCAATGTTCCCCCTGATTCTTTCAAAATGTATATTGATATGCAAAAATTAATTAGAAAATTAAGTCTTAAAAGATTTTTTTATTAAAAAACAACGGGAGGAACCTTTGAAACAAGAACCAAACAGTATGCTCAATCAGGATCCTTTTAAAAAATTTAAACCTCATTCAACCTTTTGTCCATATGATAAAGGAGGACAAATAGAGAGCTTTAATAGAATGGTGATGGAAGAACTTGAAAATTTGACAAATAAAAAGGAATACTGTAATAACATGTCTAAGCATGAGATGCAGACTCTTAATGCTCTCAAGAAAAGGAATGACATTGTTATCAAAAGTGCTGATAAGGGGGGGAGGGCATTGTCGTGATGACCGTGGAATTTTATTTGGAGGAATCTTATAGGTTGTTGGGAGACACTAATACATACACTAAACTCATTATGAACCCTAATGAAGCTTTCAAACAGACTATATATGGGCATCCTTAGATGTAGGTTCCCTATATACAGTGATAGACCATCAACTTGGTATACAGGCTGTCAAAGTTAATCTTGATAGAGACATGACCCTCAACAACATATTTGTTGAGTTTTTACTTGAAGCTATAGAATTCATACTCACCCATAACTTCTTTATGTTCAATGATAAGTACTTCCTACAAATCAAGGGAACCGCCATGGGCACCAGGTTTGCACCTAGTTATGCCAACATTTTTATGGACTTTTGGGAACGCCAGTCCATTTGGGCTAATAACCCACATGTGGCAAACCTGGTGCTCTGGCGTCGTTATATAGACGACATCATTGTCATATGGAAGGGGTCTGAAGAACAACTACTTGACTTCTTCCGGTATCTCAACGACAATGCCCTCTCCTTGGTCTTTACTCCAGTGTATAGCTCTGTTTCTATAGATTTTCTTGATCTGACCATCTTCATTGAAGACTCCCGGATCTTAAAACATACTTCAAACCTACTGACACCAATAGTTTCATTGAATCTAAGAGTGGTCACCACCCCAAATGGCTGGCAGGAGTCCCAAAGAGCCAATATACTCGACTCAGACGTAATTGCTCCAATCTTAATACCTAAGTAGAGCAAGCTGAGAAATTAACAACCAAATTTGTAGAGAAGGGATATAAAAGAGAAATTTTAGATATAGAGGTCAAGAGAATTGGAGAGATCAAAAGAGGAGATCTATTAACAAATAAAGTTAGGTCTACCACCAACGTTGATAGATCTTTTGAATTTTCATTTAACACCCAATACAACTCAAAAACCTTTGCCATTAACAGAATATTTAGAAGACATTGGAATATACTTAAACATGATGAGTACATAGGTCCACAATTGCCCGAACACCCTAAGATTATCTATAGAAAAGGAAGAAATTTTTCCAGTTTTCTTACACCAAGCCTCTTTCAGAGGAATACACACGCCCAAATGAATACCATGAAGGGGTTCCACACTTGTGGAATGTGTAAAGCTTGTAGGGGACAACTGTTTCATACCTATTCCTTTTCTAGCTTTGTAACTAAAGAGGAATTCAAAATCCAGGGACGTGTCTCATGCTGTTCCTCACATGTTGTGTACCTACTCACATGTGGATGCGGTGCACAGTATGTTGGGAGGACAGTAAGAAAAGCTAAGACACGATTCCTGGAGCACAAGAATAATATTACTAAAGGAGTGCTTAATCACTCTGTTCTGGTTCATTGTAATAAGTGCTCACTCTTTAATAGAGGTTGAATGTGGATTTTGATTTGATTTGTTTTCTTTAATTATTATTCTTTATTTTTTATTTTTATTATTATTTTGGTTATTCTCATTTTATATTATTTTTACTTCTATATTTATTTTTATTTTTATTATTATTATTTTTATATTTATTTTTATTTTTATTTTTATGTTTATTTATCTATTTTTATCTTTATTTTTATTTTGATATTTATTATTATTTTTATTTTTATTTATTTTTATTTTTTATTTATTTATAATTTTTCACTTTTGATTTTTATTTATTTATATTTATTTTTATATTTTTTAAATTATTATTATTATTATTATTTTTATTTTCATTTTTATTTTATTATTTTTTCTATTTTTATTTTTATCATTATTTTTCATTATATATTTTTCATATCATTTTACTTTCTATTTGTGAGTTTGTGAGTTTGTGCTGCATGATTTTGATGCTGTGTTTATTTTTATTATATGCGCCTGAGGAAGTCTACAGCTGAGTAGACGAAATGCGTTGAGCTTTTTTATTCATCTTCTGCCATGTGAACAGAGGACTCAATATTTGATTGATAAGCATTCTTACTGCTCACTTCTTGTAAGTGTTTAAAATTAAAGTGTGTCATTTTTACATTTTTACATTTTAAATGTCCAGTTTCTTCTTTTGACATGTGTTCCCGGAATTGAAAATTTCTGCAATTGAACATTTAAAGAGACACTGATGGGCTTGAACAATTCGTATATTCTGTGAGTGCATTATTATTACCAAGGGGCCATTGCTTTATTGTATGGTGTTGCCCTATGAATTTCTTTTTACCTCTGTCCTTTTAGGTGTATCTTGTATCTAATATTTGTGTTTGAGGATTTAGAGGAATCCTGTGTTACTACCTAATATATAAGGGAAGTAATAACCTATATTTTTCAATTCTATTGCTGCACCTGGGTGGTCTACACACACATATATATATATATATATATATTCATTTCTATTCTTGTAAGCTGGACTGGAAGCTGGCAGCTAAGGTGATACCACGTACAATTATGAGACTGGGTCAGTGAGATCAAGGACAAAGACTTTACTTGAAGTTGCAGAGCATATAAAGTGAGGGGAAAAAAAGTATTTGATCCCCTGCAGATTTTGAACGTTTGCCCACTGACAAAAAAATGATCAGTCTATAATTTTAATGGTAGATGTATTATAACAATGAAACACAGAATAACAAACAAAAAAATCCAGAAAAAAGCATGTAAAAAAGTTCTAAATTGATTTGCATGTAAATGAGTGAAATAAGTATTTGATCCCCTGTCAATCATCAAGATTTGTGGCTCCCAGGTGTCTTTTATACAGGTAACAAGCTGAGATTAGGAGCACTCTCTTGAAGGGAGTGCTCCTAATCTCGGCTCGTTACCTGTATAAAAGACACCTGTCCACAGAAGCAATCAATCAATCAGATTCCAAACTCTCCACCATGGTCAGGACCAAAGAGCTGTCCAAGGATGTCAGGAACAAGATTGTAGACCTACACAAGGCTGGAATGGGCTACAAGACCATTGCCATGCAGCTTGGTGAGAAGGTAACAACAGTTGATGCGATTATTCGCAAATGAAAGCAACACAAAATAACTGTCAGTCTCCTTCGGTCTTGTGCTCCATGCAAGATCTCACCTCGTGGGAACCACCCCAGAACTAGACAGGACTTGTTAATGATCTCAAGGCAGCTGGGACCATAGTCACCTTGAAAACAATTTTTAACACACTGTGCCGTGAAGGACTGAATTCCTGCAGTGCACGCAAGGTCCCCCTGCTCAAGAAAGCACATGCACAGGCCGATCTGAAGTTTGCCAAAGAACATCTGATTGATTCAGAGAGGAATTGGGTGAAAGTGTTGTGGTCAGATGAGACCAAAATCGAGCTCTTTGGCATCAACTCAACTTGCCGTGTTTGGAGGAGGAGGAATGCTGCCTATGACCCCAAGACCACAATCCCCACCGTCAAACATGGAGGTGGAAACATTATGCTTTGGGGGTGTTTTTCTGCTAAGGGGACAGGACAGCTGCACTGCATCAAAGGGACAATGGACGGGACCATGTACCATCAAATATTGGGTGAGAACCTCCTTCCCTCAGCCAGGGCATTAAAAATGGGTCCTGGATGGGTATTCTAGCGTGACAATGACCCAAAACACACCCCCAAGGCAACAAACGAGTGGCTCAAGAAGACGCACATTAAGGTCCTGGAGTGGCCTAGCCAGTCTCCAGACCTTAATTCCATAGAAAATCTATGGAGCGAGCTAAAGGTTCGAGCTGCCACACGTCAGCCATGTAACCTTAATGACTTGGAGAGGATCTGCAAAGAGGAGTGGGACAAAATACCTTCTGAGATATGTACAAACCTATTGGCCAACTACAAGAAACGTCTGACCTCTATGATTGCCAACAAGGGTTTTGCCACCAAGTACTAAGTCAAAGGGGTCAAATACTTATTTCACTCATCGACATGCAAATCAATTTATAACTTTTTGACATGCATTTTTCTGGATTTTTTGTTTTTTATTCTGTCTCTCAATGTTAAAATACCACTACCAATTAAATTATAGATTGATCATTTCTTTGTCAGTGGGCAAACGTTCAAAATCAGCATGGGATCAAATACTTTTTTCTCTCACTGTATATGTTACATGTATGCCAACATAATTCCACAATCATCATTCTTGTTGGAACTTCTAGAATAATCAGTTTTATTAACCCCTTAAGGACACAACTTCTGGAATAAAAGGGAATCATGACAGAATATTTCTGTCATGTGTCCTTAAGGGGTCAAATGCTGACAAAGAGTCATGACACATTCAGCATCTTTTGCAACCTCCTTATGCTATCTAATTGTTTAATTCTCTTTTTATATTTCTAAAGTTTGCGTGCAGTGGTTTGGCCTGACTCTGTATGCGGTCCAACTATTACTCACAGATGCTTGTGATTTTCAACAAAATGTGCAACCTTTTGAAGGCATATTTTTATCTAGTTTTTACACCAAGTGAAGAGTGGTCCAGTGGCTGGCTGAAATTATTATTAGCGTTTATATACATATTTCACAGAGATTTACAATTATAGAACAGAGATATTTCATAACAGAATGCCATAATCAAACGAGCCTACAATCTATGAGGATTTAATCCCCTATATTCAACAAATATTAGTTTGTAAGTTCTGAAAAATAACATTAAATGTACAAATCCATACCATGGTATTAACCTCTGTCTTTGAAGTGAGCATCTCAATAGGAGTCTCTTTGAACCACTGTTGTAATCTCTGTCCTTTTCTGTCATTGAACAGAGTGAGTGGAGGAAGAAAAACAGAATCAGTGGGGGCATTTATAAAGGAAAAACACGTGCTGTTCTGGGTCAAATGGAAATAGAATGTCTCTCAACATTTAGCACCCAGAATAACACATATTAAATCTACGAGGAGTCTCTGTATCCCCTCCAATACAATGTGTGCCCTGGCTGAGCCCTGACTGAATTGGATTGTGATGTGTGTGTATGTGTATATATATATATAGATATATATATATATTTTTTATATTTATACGTCCATTCTGGAAAAAGATCTATAAAATTATCCAAAAATTCACTGACGCCCACCCCCCCTTCACCCCTAACCCTTGGTTCCAAAGAATGGATGAACTCACCTTCCAATCGAGCGGCAGATCGCAGGTGTACTATGACATCTGGACTCAGTGGCTCCTTACTACAGAATCCGCTGACATCCAAGCACTCATACAATATAATTCGACCTACACCTGTAAGTAGCGGTCCGACAAGCCACTACGGGGGACCCACACAGGGAGGGACATGGAGGGTGAGGAACAGGGTCCACCACCTGACATCCTCCTCCCCCCCCTTTGGCTTCTGGTATCCAGTACTCTTTTTACATTTCTTGTTTAGTTTTTCTTGGTTTTTCTGGTTTTCTAGTCTATGTCTGGCTTTCTTTATTGCTGGGATTTCTGGGTTCATTCCTGTAATCCATCCCTGGGATTCCCAGTCTCCAGGTTTCCTTTAAATGTTTGTTTTATGTTGCCACACCCGTTTGTTTTTCATCATTCCTTTTTGTTTCAGTGTCCTGCAAGCAGCTGCTCAAGCCTTCTGCCCTTTCTTGCAGGTAAGTGCTATTGTGGATTATTATGGTTCTTTTAATGAACATTATGCAGAGTAGGACCTGCCGAATATGGGGTACATTGGCGGGCTTATGCAATGTATGATCATATAATGTAACTAAATCCCTGTACTTTTCATATATAGTGCTTAGTTATGTCTCCTCTTGTTTTGCCTATTATATCTTCTTTTATTTTTTAATCCCAGTTCATGTACAGTCCTGTCCTGTTCTTGTTTTCCTCATGTCTTGTGTACATGTTCTGGGTTCTGCTTTTTTTCCTGCTCTGGTTCTGGGTTCTATTAGTTCTGTCTTGTTTTCATGTTTGGTGTCTATCCTAGTCTTATCTTGTTTCTAGTACTGGATACATTTTTGCTGCAGAGCCTCCCTATTCAGCTCCTGGGAGGTCTGCTTAATTCCTGCTCCTAGCTTTTGGGATCCGCAGTAGCTGCATCAGGGTTCTGGTATGTGGCCGCACAAACGTTGGTGCTTAACACCAGGGGGCTTGTGGTTACCCTGCACCAGGCCCTGATAATCCGCTTCCAAATTCTCATCAGGCACTCAGGGGTCCCGGTTTCCGTACCGCCACTCGTGACACTCTCTCCTCCCTTCCCCCTTTACCTAGTTGAGAAAGAATCACCTGGTAGAAAGGGCACCCCAAGGCACACTGCATACCACCAGCACAGAAGGATAAAACGAGAAGACCACTAAGTTTGTATCAGGCTAGAAATACCACACCTACCATAGGGCCACTAAACACAAGATTGTGGTTACTTTGTTTTCTGTTTGAGGCCTGCGAGCCAAAATGTTATGCATGAAATCATGGACCTACGAGTCCACTACATGTTGAACCATCACGTTTACCTCTACTCTTTTTACCAGAGTCCTGCGCGTCTCATTGCATTGTTGCATGTTAGCCCTACATAATTGCTGTTATGAATCGAAAAATACCAATAAAAACTATATTTACAAAAGAAAATATAAAAAATGGAGTATCACATAGAAATGGTTTCCAAACCATTATTCAGTGGTGTCATTTTCAGAGAGAGTCTTTTTCTCAAGGGTGTTTCTGAGATTGCTTTTCTAATCAATGTGGTGAAATCAGGTGTAAGTTGGAGATATGCTTCACTGTAGACCATTTGCTCTTCATAACACAGGATTCTAAAACAATTCTTGACAAACAAAAATGATTTCAAAGGACCTGTATCAATATACTGTTAGTACTTGAAGTAGTCCAAGAAAAAGCATACTTCTGGGGACATAACAAATCCTCAGGACATTGGCTAAAGAGCTTTTGGCTTCCCTTGCAAATATTGTAGCTTTTCTAAATGGTTTATTCCATCATAAAAACTGAGAATATTAATAAGTATCAACTGTAACAGTCATTGTAAAATTTGTAAACAATAGCTGGACATTAACGTATTATTAAATCACATGTAAAAGTCCATTCTCAGCTTAGTTACAATTGTGCAGATAAGGTTAACTGCAAGAGAGTTTGAAGTTTAAAAAATGTCCAAATTGAATACAAAGTTTAGGATTCTGGGCATTTATCAAAGACATACAGATTGGTGATGAAGACAATGAGGATACCGATTGAAAAAGCCCCCATAGTGTGGGTGAAACGCGTCTCAGGACTGGAGCTAATTACTGGGACATTCTTTATCTTATATAGAAGCAACTGGATATTTTTTTATTTAATTCTATGTTTTTGTTTTTATATTTAAAGTTGCAATAAATGTATGTATTTTAAACCAAGTCCT